AATCGTACGGTCGTATGGTTCAGTTGGTAGGTGCAAGATCGATAGTTCATAAATTTCTTAACTTTCCCCGACATCGACCAACCAAGCACGAAGGAGATGGTTTTTCAAAAACAACTCTTTGTAAAAGCCTATGTCATTGTGAAAATGATTGGTCCCGCCGGTCAGTTCTGACTTTTGGAAAGCACCATTACATTCAACATTTGATTTAGAGGTCGCATTTCATATGTGCCAAATAAAACACATTAATGAGAGATACCCTTATCCATATTGGATAAAAAAAATTTTCTAGAGACTGGGAATATTTACAACAAATGGAGTTAAATTTGGCATCATCATATCCGACATCTGAATCAACTGCTGTATTTAGTTTCACTGACTAAAATAGGTGTTCGGCACTCATAACAGCCTGCGAAAACATCCGTTTCTCCTTGCTCTTTGCCGCTGGGGATGTTTCACGTGGAGGAATGTCTGCGACTCAGTGACAGAAATTCCATACTGATGACGTAAAATCTGTCCAGAATCCGGTCAGAAGAGCTGATTGGTCAATGGAGTAGATACATTGTTTTAGCTATTGTTTACGAATGACAGACAAAAGACAAAAGGCCAAAATGTAATCGCAAAGAATCTCTAACAAAACAGTCAATGTTTGTGGAATACAGTCTTCTCTAGAAGACGCATTTGAGATTTGCTGGAGCTCGTTGGCAGATGAACATAACACTTACCAAAATCGACCAGGAGACACGTAAAATTGGAAAAATTTATATTTGGAACCCCATGACTACTGGATTTATTATGTAAACATTGATTTGCGTCATCAGTATGGAATTTCTGTCGCTGAGTCGCAGATGTTCCTCCACGCCAAACGTCCCCAGCGGCGAAGAGTGAGGAGAAACAGATGTTTTCGCAGGCTCTAAGAAATTCCATGTTTGAAAGGTGCCTAACATGACATAAGCTTCAGCTTAGCGGTTTGTACGCTGTTATTAAGTTGTTGTTTTCTTTGCAGTAAGAGCAATTGGTATCTCTCTTTGTAAATCCAGTCTATTAATCGCCTTGTGTCGCGACTTAAGAATCAGCTGAAATAGTTGATTTTACTTTCTCTTTGATATGATTTGTATATTAAAAAGAGCGATCAATTTCCATCCATCCCATTTCAATAAAAGCAAATGGAATTACTTTTGACTGTAGCAGACAACCTCAAACCGTGACTTCGTCGTATAAATATGCGGCAGCAAAGACAGACAAACACGCTAACCCTTTTTTATCAAATTATTTAAAGTTTTAAACTCAAAGCTTTATATAGTGTGAAATAATTACAATTTACTTTTACAATTCACTTGTTATAATAATAGTAATTTTTAAAAAATAAAAAAATCCAGTTGACTCCCGTCAACTCAAACCTTCAAGGGAAATACACTTTCAGAGCAACAACACTCTGAGTTCAAGTTATGCCACAAAACTTGCACAATAATTATATAGTGTCAATGCAACAATAACCTCAACAACCTGATTATGAAAATGAAAACTCAATAACTTTCTAGTCCTCCATCTCTTCACTGTGACTTTACTTTCTGAGCTGGTTTTGTTTGTTCCTGGGAAATTCATTTTTCATGTGCTTTTTCCATGTTTGCTTACATTCCCTACTCATTTCTTTTCTATACTGATTGGCCAAAATCTGAGAGCTTAGTCAACAGGGAGGCACAAGGTTTTAAGGTTTATGGTTTGTTGTAGTGGAAAAGTGTACTTAGCTTATCCAGCTAGTTTACAAGCACTCCACTCAAATAATTAGAAACAAATAATTCAAATAAAAGACAAAAGGATTAAAAACCCCAACTGTCAGGCAGGACTCCAATCAGCTATTGACAAGCATCAAACAAGACAACCAAGAACAAATCCAGCAAATGGCCTGCAGAGCAGGAGTCAAGTGGCTGTTGTCAGACCACTGGGCCATGTTGCCTCTATATGGAGGGAACCGAAGGCAAAATTCCTGAGACATGACTGCATGCCTCTCCCTCCTTTTTTGCCCTGCCGCAAGAACATCCTGGAGAGTTTGCTCACAGGTTAGTATCACCCAAGAGCGATTGTAGTTTTAATAAATACCCCTAAAAAAACATACATTTTTTGAAAGTTTAATAATTCCAGATAACAGCTAATTTCTTTAAAAAATCCAATACATGCATGGTTACATGTTTCAGAAATGAACTACTTTTTGCAAAACTAGAAGTACCTGTAAATTTGAGTCCAGGCCAGCCTTAAACAAACAGCAGAAACTGGTTAAGATAGAATTCACTTCTTGACAACTTTGACTACAAAAATGCATAATTTTCAGATTTTGTTTATTACAATAATATTGTTCTTTTGTTGTGAGCAGATGAAGATAAGGATAACATACGTCTGTGAAAAAATACTCAAAAATGAGGAAACAAATCAAACTTTGCAGGCACAGTTCTTTAGAACAACTATATGACAGTAAGTTGGTCAAATTTCAGCAAAATTGGTTCACAGGTTAGTGACTTGAAGCTCAAAATGTATGCTCAACTTGGGCCGATTTTCATTTCAACAAAACAAAGAAAATAGAATTTTTGTGGCATTTCACCTGTAACAAAAAAGTCTTTTTTGCTCCATAAGTCTCCACAAAAATAAACTTTGCTGGAATTTTTTTAAAAGAAAGTTCTTGGCAAGTAGAACTACATGTGTATCCAACAATTGCAAATTTCAAAAATCATGATGACAGAACTTTATTTTCAAACTTTCTTTTCAAAGGACAATTTGTTTAGCCTGGGACCAGAATACGGGAACACTATAGTCAAATGAGGAAATTGACTTTCTTAACAGATTTAATAATATTGCTTTGGAGAAATGTAATGAAGATCAAATTAGTCAGTTCATGAAACAGACTTGTGTCAATTGTATGCTGTTATTACTTATAATATTTAAATTATAAATTATAAATTATGGACTAACCTTTTTTATGAGCAATGATATGTTTATCTACCAGCTAGGAATCTTAACTTTTCATGTAATGTATAACATTAAAAACAAGATCCAAGTCAGCCCTTGGCTGTCTTTTGTACTAGACTGTTCAATAAAGTATGTACGTATGTATGTATGTATTTATTTCTGGTGTGAATATTATTTTCCTTTGTTTTAGGGTATAGTAATGTGTGGTAATGAGTCTCAAACAAAGGATTAAACCAGGGATAAAATTAAACCACAACGAATCCATTTAGCATAACCTTTGCTGTTGTCTACGATTTTTTCAACTCTAATATCTCTCCCAGGGGACAAACAAAATAGCCCTGGGGAACAAAGCAGGCACCAGTATTTTTTTTACATAATTTAGTATTTCGTGGGAAAAGCATCAAGTTTTTGTCCTGCAAGGATCAAGACTGCTTTAAACTGCCCACAGGCATAAATCGCTGCATGAGGTCTGCGCATACTTATATCATGTGTTTTGCATACCCACCAAAACAGTAAAGCTTGAATAACAGACCTAATCCTTCGATAACATTTAATGTTACCCGAATTAAGGCGATTTTAAACCGATAAGAACAAGCTAGAAGGTCAAAAGAAAACAAACAAGGAAAAGATATAAATCATCATGACATACCTCGAAAAACTCGTGAATTAACCGGATTGCTTCTCACATCCCATTCACTCAAAATTTCGAGAAGATCGTGACAATTGATCTTCCTCAACAGTCGCTGTAAAACTCGCAAATTATCTTTGCCGTAATACAGATTAAGAACAGCAATTAAAGCCTCCCCGTCGGTAATAGTCCTCAAGGTGTCACTCCGAATAGCATTACCAAGCAATCCAGCAATGCGAGGTATTTCATCCGACCTCAAATTTCGAGCCACAAAATCTTTGATTTCTTGAAGAGGCTCAAAAACCAATGCAGATAGTAGCCGTCTGTCATAGTAAAGACGCTCTAGAATATCTTGGAAATCTTCCGTAGCCATGACATTTAAGAAAACATTCCGAAAGCAAATTTACTGATTGGATTCGACGTCTCGATTCAAAGACCAAGCCTACTTCACGTGGCTAGGAAACAAGTCTGATAAATTCTCTTCTTGACTGACCTTGAATTATGGCAATAAGTTTCAACCTCCGTTTAAAGGATCAAATAATAAATGCAGGTAGATTTTAGAGCTAATGGCGCACTCAATTCATGCAGGGTCCGTTAGTCTTTCTTTAGCCTTTGGAATACTCGGCAATCCCATTAAAGACACCCTTTCACCGCAACTTGATATAAACCAGATGTTCCTCATAATCCATGTTATCTGTATCGGGTTACGATGTTTTTCAAAAATTGTCCTTTACCCTCTCATGTCACGGCTGGTCTTGAGCTTCATAAGACCTGGTGGATATAGCCGTTTTCCTTGTGGTTTTCACTTTGTTACACGGCAGTTGAAAGGTTTATAATGCACATTCAACAGGTGTCAAGCTTCGGCACCAAATCTTAAATGAACTCCCCAACCGTGAAATGTCAAGACAATTAAAACCTGTTAGAGGTTTTACGTGTAATTCCAAAAAGAGCTTCGTTCATGAGTAATCCTTAAGCTTGCTTTCTCTGCACGTAACTTGAAACAGGTGGAAGAGAAGACAACCGAATATTAACTCAAGCAAGTAACAAGTCCACACTGTGATCAGCCTGTGATGCCTGTGTTTTAAATAATACGATGAAATTTCAAGTATTTGCTTGTTGAGTATTCTCAAGAGTAATCGGATACAAACGCCATATTGGTATGTTAGAATGCAGAGGAAGACTGGACCCTCGGCTTTAGTCTTCCTTTTCCTTCACGATGTCGTCTGACATCGCCTGACAGTTTTTGCATGGCAACAAAAATACAGTAATACTACTGCTTGAAATTGGAAATTGGAGTAACTGGAAAAATACAAATTCAGCTTCTCTGATGTGCCAAATATTTCACCTTGTAACCTTCAAAATTTTTAAGGATACTATCGATTGTGTTTTCTGTGAAAATGCTGATACACAGGGATGCTGAACGACAACCGAATCAAGTAGCTATTTATTTAATATTGTGATTATCCAGGCGACTCAGACTGTGGGAATGGCGAGTCAGTTACAGGGATCATATGAAGAACAAGAAGAACGGAAAAACGAAAGCGAATCTCTGACCCTAATCGATTTAGATGATAATGATGATGATGATGAAAGTGCTGACTGTGGGTTTGTATCGCCAAGGCAACTAACCAAGATAAATTTCCGGTCCTTAATTGGTCATACCGATGAGGTAATTATCGTTGATACGTAGTAATCATAGATTAATGAGCGCGTTCGAGTTTTCTTTGCTCCAGATTAGCTTTTATACCGTCAATTATCATTTCAAAATAGGGAAAAGATCCTGAAACCTTTTTTTACAAAGTAAACATTATCTCGTCAATGCTCTTCGCATAGACGGCTTCAGATTTCGACATGTCTTACTCTCCCTCAAGTATGGTCTATAAAAATTTGAAGTAGATTGTAAAAAGGTTATATGGCAATTTAATGGTTATATTTTGTCAAAGAATAAACATATCACTACAAACTTCAAAAGCATGGTAGCCTCGAATATTATAATCCTGGCTTCTTGTGTGACACAACTTAAGTTATTCAAAATGGCACAGAAAATGCAGACGTATGACGAAAAACACTTGCAGAAAAAGTCATCCTTGAGTAGGCCCAGATACAAAATCCAGACATTGTCTGCTGCAGTGCAAAAGGTTGTACTCATGCAACCATCATTCCCTGCTTTTCACTACTGACTACGATGGCAATTAACAGCACAATGTCCTTGACGTCTACCTATATACATCGAGGCAACTTTAATGCTTACAGCCAACATGGTCATTAGTGTTTAGTATTTACAGCTTCGAATGGTACTTTGGTACTTTTGTGCTAGTGGAAGTTGTCGCATTTTTGGCCTCTTAGAGTCCATTAATGAGTTCATTATTTGAAAGCTGAATCTTTCAGTACAAAATTAATGTAGTCGTAGATTTCAGATTCATGATCTCTGTATTGCCGCATTCATAATGAGCAGTGAATTCACACGCGAGATATGTCCCGAAATTTTGCCACCTCAGCTTTCTTCAATTTGATATCATATCCAGTTATCTTCAAAGCAAATTTATCCATCTCAAGATTTTTCTCCTGTGTTGAATTAAGAGAAGTTCTTCAATTCTATGTCCTGTACTTTACTTGTACTTCAGTTGAAAATGGTGTAATTATGTTTTTTTAGGTCAATACTTGTGCATTTTCTTCAGACTGGTCAAAAATTGTGACTGGTGGAGATGATATGCTGGTTAAGTTATGGGACACCAATACAGGAAAAGTTTTATTCACATTAGATAGTCATGAAGGTAAAACCTGAAATAATGTAGTTGTTTACATTACAACCTATCAAAATGCAATGTATTGGCTTTATTGTCTTCCCACTCACTCATTCAGTCAGTTGAACAAGTGTATAGAAAGAGGCCTTAAGTGAATTTTGATTTCTTAGAAGTATTTTTTACAGACACTCTTTCTATTGTCCTCATACACAGTTCTTTCCTCTGTTGGAGTAGATTGCATGGCTAGCTGAATGCTAGATCAATGTGATGTTGATTGCTACTTTTTGACCTCTTTCTTCTTAATTTTCTCCGTAATTAAAAAGGCAGTGGTGTTCATTATTGGCTGTATACTGTGCACCAGGTGCCTTGGTACATTTATGTACATTTGGTGCAGTCAAGTTCAAATACCACAACACATTAGTGAGAATTGAAATCACATACAGCTATATAATATTATGCTGTTATACTGATAAGCCCACACAGTGTTATTGACTTTTGCCTTATGAGGATCAGTAGTAATCAGTTGTAATATCATGATAAGTGACTATATTGTGAGACAATCAGAAGCTGATCAGCACACTGTATGTCTAGAGATCTGTGAACTGTAAGAAAATTCTACCTTCAGATAATTTACATATACGATTGGTGTTTTGTGTTTGCTGGACAGGTGCAATAAAGTGTGTGTGCTTTTCATCAGATGGAAAACTGTTTGCTTCAGCCTCCTATGATCACACTGTCAAAATTATGAGTTCTACAACTGGAAAGGAACTTTACAGTCTTGAAGGTGCTGAAAACTTAAGTAATTTTATTTTTGTTGAGGGAAATATATATCAGTAATAGTTTATTATGATGTGTTTAATTTCACTCTCCCGGGACAGAAATACGCAAACTGTACAAACGTCCATCAATAATTTTGTTCATTTGTGATAAAAAAGGTAATTGTTATAGAATTGTTGTGTTTTATACAAAAAAGGTAACTTAATTAATAGTTATTTTTGTGAGCTGAACATGGGAGATTAATTGAAGCATTAGTAAACCTATCTTGTTTCTGTTAAGTCAGGTGTAAATTGTAGGTTATTTAAATGATTTAAAATCCTTCATATTTACCATAGTTTATTTTTTTGTAGTAGGATATATAATGTAGATAGCATCATGTGTTGTTGGTGGAAATAAACCCCTGCAACCATCCTGGTGGTTCAAATTCTGCTTTAGCAAGTAGCTTAAATTGCTCTGGGTGCAGGCTGCATGGTAATGCTTGAAAGCAGCCAGTTTATGTGTTCCGTGATCTCCATAACTCTTCAGATCCTACAAAAGCCAAATCCAATAATATATAATTGGATTTGGCTTTTGTGGGATGTGAAGAGTCATGGAGATCACGGATGGTGTTGTCCACCTTGGCCTCAGCAGATAATACCCTCCTCCATTCCTAATATGGTTTCCACTTTGGCTCATGGACAGTGACAAAACTAAACATTGGAATAACATTGGAATAACATATTGTTCTATTATTCATTGATAATAATTTGTAGTATAAAAACAAGGCAAACAGCATGCTTATCTCAATCAATATCAAGTTCCCTGATCTTCATTTGCCAGTTTCTTGGTAGTTCATGATGATAAAATTAATAAATATATGTTTAGTTCTGTAGAAATTATTCTCCAAATAGCAGATGTCATGTGAGAAGTTGTACTCTTGCTTTTCCTGCTATGTTTTTAGGCAGTAGTTCAGCTATTTCTTCTTTGCAAAACATGTGAAATGTTCCACAATTTTTATTGTCCTACTTTTGCTGCACCTGCACCTGCACCTGCACCTATCCCGTAGTCAATGACCGTTGGGGCACCACAGACATAGCAACCCCCTCCCTCCATTTGATTTTGTTTTCAGCTTCTCTTACAGCATTGCAAAACTTCAACCATGTCCACTCAGAGATATTATTTTCCCAACGCTTCTTTTGTCGGCCCCTTCTTCTCCCTCCTTGCACTAGTGCTTGTAAAATTGTCTTTGCAAGCCCTGATGATCTTGATACATGCCCAAACCACTTTAACGTGCATTTCTTTACCGTGGTTAAGCTGATATCATCATAGGGCCCAATGGCTTGCCTGATTCTGTCTCTGTCTGCATCGTTAGTGATGTGATCTCTGTATGAGAATATTGCCAATTTCTTCAGGATGTCCGCAGTCAATGTCCAGGTTTTGCAGGCAGACAATAGTACCAAGATACTAGGTAGCGCATTAGTCTGATCTTTGAGCTTAGAGAGATTTGCCTGTCATTCCAGATGGTCTTCAGTCTCGCTAGTGCTACGGTTGTCTGTACAATTCTGGGCAGTACTTCAGGCTTGTAACCATGATCTGTGACGACTGCACCCAGATCCTTGAAGCTGTCAACCTCGTCCAATTTTTCACCGTTGATTCTGATGTCAATGCTGATACCATTCGCATTACTGGTCATCAGTTTGGTCTTCTCTGCACTGATTTCCATGCCAAAGGCTGCAGAGGTCTTATCCAGGCAATCCACTAGGGAGGCTAGTTCCTCCTTTTTTTTTTCTGCCAGGCCATGAATGTCATCAGCAGCACGTAAGTTGGTAATTGTTCTGCCTCCGTTGCTGACTGTTCCTTGGTGATCTTCTGGTGCGTCAGTCATAATTCTCTCCAGAAAGATATTGAAAAGAGTTGGTGAGAGTAGACACCCTTGTCTGACTCCGACTGTGGTTCTTAACCAGTCTCCGATGTCACCATTAAGGTAGACTCCACTAGTGGCCTTGTTGTAGAGGTTTTTAATGACCTGGAGCAGCTTGGAGTTAATGTTATAAAACCTCATAGTAGACCAGATTAGGGCTTTATGCCATACTCTGTCAAACGCCTTTTTAAAAATCAATAAAGATGTGATAGAGGTCTTGTTGATGTTGGAGGTACCTCTCGCACAGTATCCTAAGATTAAAGATCTGTTCTTTTGTACTGCGACCTGATTGGAAACCTGCCTGTTTCTCCGGGATGATTGATTCTGCCTGAGGTTTCTGCCTATTTAACAGCACCTTCAGCAGGACTTTACTTGGGTGACATATTAGGCTGATTGTGCGGTAGTTCTTGCACTGTTGAAGGTTGCCTTTCTTGGGAATGGTGATGATAAGAGACTGGGTCCATGGTATGGGCCACTCTCCTCTCTGCCCAATCTTATTGCTGATTTTGCGCAAGGCACTTATCACGGCATCTCCTCCTGCCTGTACCAGCTCTCCTGGGATATTGTGTATCCCTGGAGATTTTCAGTTCTTGAGCAATTTCACAGCTGCTTCATCCTCTTCCTGCAAGATTGGGTAGTTGTCAGTGTCGGTAACTAGTGGGACAGTCAGCACCTCAGAGTCACCTATGACTGTGTGGCTTTACAGTTCTACACAGTATTCTGTCCACCTTTCTAGAATGTTGCTGGTTTCGGTGAGGCAATTTCCGTCTTTGTCCTGTATGGTGTTGGTTTTTCCTTGTTTGGTGCTAGTTAGAGTTTTAACTAGCGGATATGCTTTCTTGCTATTGTTCTTCCTGATGTTATCTTCAATATCTTGACACTGTTACCGGTAACTTCAATCCAAGACTCTTTTTGCCTTTTTTATGCTCTTCTTAATTTCCTGGTTAATTGCTCTGCACATTCTTGCCCCTTCTGCTGTCTCGTGTCTCCCCTTCTTTAGTGCTCTTCGTTCGTCGCATAGATCCAGTATGCTAGTCGTGACCCATGGTCTTTTGACTGCTCTGCGTTTGCCTAAGATTTCACTAGCTGTTTCAGGCATTGCTTTATTGAAGGAGTTTTACGAGTGTGTCCACTTCTGTGTCATCCGCATTGAGCAAGGTAATTGGTGCAGATTTACCACCAATCATTGCTTGGAAGACATCTGCAACTTGAGGGTCTTTGAGCTTCTCAAGATCAAACCCAATCCTTGTGGGGCCCTGCACTTTTATCTTCTTTAAATGTAGTCGAATTAAAAGACACCATCACTAAATCATGGCCGCTTCCTATGTCAGTTCCTGGGAAGCTTCTTGTCTTAGCAGTGTTTACACTGGTCATGAAGCGCCTCCTAACCATGACATAATCAGTCTGGTATAATATGATATAATCAATCTACTTGTCCTACTCTACCGAAAATCCTTTAATAAGAATGACCTAGACCAGGTTTTATGAGTCAGCGAGACTGAACACCCCACCCAAACCGTTGTTTTCACTAAAACCGCTAGGAGCTACAACCTGGTTGAGGTCATTGTTATCTAAGGTCTTCCCACTCTACCAAAACAACACCTCATCCCCAGGGCTTTTCAGCTGCTGTCCATTTTTCTGGCGTTCATGCTGTACTGTTGACATCATTTTCCAAATATCACAAATTTCTTCCAAATTTGGTCAACACTAGCTGGTTGTGAAGAATTAACCACTGGATTTAAGTCAATCAGAAATGGAGAAATATTTTGAATGAATAATATGTATAATAATTTGCTCTACGTATTGGAGATTTGTAGCAGGGAAGGGGTTTGACTGAACTGACAAATTCCTTGCCACTTATCTCCCTTGCAAGCTTAACTCTGATGTATGTAATTCTCTTTTTCTCTAAAGCAGTTACTCTTGCTCTTTACAATAATAAATTTGCTAACTTTTCTTTTGTAGGACACACTCATAGTGTGGAGACCTGTTGCTTTTCACCAGACTCTAAATACTTGTGTTCTGGATCATGGGACACCTCCGCAGTGGTTTGGAATTTAAAGGTACATTCATTTAACTGATATTTTTCACTCTCATTCAAAACAAGATTCACTGGCTAAAACCAGAGCCTGAGCTAGCGGGAAGGGGGGTACCTGTTGAGCCAGACAAATCAAGACTGTGGATGGATTTGTTTTCTTTAGACTCAGTTAAAATTGATTGTAGTGACTTGCAATTGTTTGCCATTTTCATGGCCGAGACATTGGTTGGTCCACGGTGTGTGCAAATAGTAAGCAAAAGGAAGCAAAACCCCATATTGAAATTGGCGTGTATATGTACTATTTGCAAGGTTCACTGTAACATTACAGACGCCTACCATGATGTTGCCCTAGCAAAGGAATGCATCATAAATGCCAGGAAGGATACATGCTGGGAAGAGGTCTGGAAGAGAATAGAGAAAGTTGGCCCAGCTGTCAACGTCACCATGGTGAAACCTTGCATTACAAACGTCTCATTGAGCTAATGCTGCTGGAAATCGCGTAGAACAGAGCCCATCAGAGTACTACAGGGTTAACGTAAAAGTAAAAAGGCAGGGTCTGTGATCGTAAGTGAGACCGTGCTGGCTATGCCATGCTGAAGAGTCCTAACAAGGACGAAACAGCTGTCCATGGCTGCCACTGCCAGGGTGATATGGCTGTGCGCATGCGTAAGGTACTGGTCATTCCCCGGAGTTGGTACTGTGTGCTTCAGTTCATGTTGTGGTCTTGTTAACGTTTATTACCCATTTATTGATCATGTGATTGTGGAACTAGAAACCCGATTCTCAGAAGACCACAAAGGACTCAAGGCAGCCCAAAAGCTAGTACCGGTCCACCTGAACGGAAAGTCAGATTGATGCGATCTGCACTTACTACGGCAAGTTTATAACTTATGCAGAGAAAGAAGAAGTAGCCCAATGGAAGAAGAGTTACGATTCGGTCGCGATGCAGAACAAACCAGAGACGGCAATTTGCGAACGAAAATTAGTTAACCAAACATCATGCAGTGTTGTGAAATGTTTAGTGTACTAGTGCTTGGATATACGGTATGTTTCAAATAAACAGGACCTCGGAAATAAGCACATGTTAACACTGAAAACACCTACCTTTTCACACTTATTATCTAGAGGTCGATTTTCGGAGACTCATCTCATGACAAGTGCTGAAAATAGCGTTTTGGAGCGTCCAAATTTGAAACGTTCTGGGGAGGATACCCCCAGAACCCCCACTGACAAGATTCGTGCCTTCGGTACTCGATATAATGCCTCCCGTTGCCAAAAAAATCTAGCTACGACCCTTCTCACTCCAAAGCTCTCTCCCTACATTTTAGCCTGTCAGCAATCCTCAAGTAGAGTTAACTGAACCCATTTTCTTCGCATCTTACGTTGTTGGCAGGCGAAGTCTCGGGAAACAAAGCTTGTGGTGACGCAACGTCTTGTGTGACTGTGTAAGCCAATGTGCGAGTGGCAGTCTCTACTGCACACGGCGCAGATGAAGTCGGAGGAGGGCAGGGTGGAGTTGTTTTTGCGGCGTGCGCGTTTCTTCTCAGCTTTCGTGTGAGGTTTCAAGTCTGCTCTCTCGATGACTTCTTTCACTGTCCGTCTCCAGCAGGCACGATCACTCGTAGCAACTTCCAAGTTGTTTGGATCGATTTCAATTAATTTACTTTCTCCTGTCGTCAATTGTCCGTGTAGAACTTCTTTGAGGATGCGTCGATCATTCATGCGATGAGCATGTCCGAGCCATCTCATGTTGGTGACGTGGTCTTGCCACTTGACACCGAGGATGCGACTGAGGCATCACAGATGGAAAGAGTTCAAGCGGTGTTCCTGTCTCGTGTAGGTGGTCCAATGGGAACGCATGCCTGGTTGATGTCCATTTTGGGCTTTTCAGTCAGGTATTTACTTTCCCAGGCTGTCTTGGTCAATTTGGACGTGGTGCCGGTGGCTTTGCTGATTCTTCGGAAAATTTCTGAGTCAAGCCTCGAGTTCATAGAGATGGTGGAACCGAGGTAAGTGCCTTCGACGCCTAACTCGAGAGTGTGGTCACCGATTTTGATTTCAGGGGCTTGGGCACTGGGCACTCATTGGTTTTCTTGAGGCTGATTGTGAAGCCAAAGGTTGACGCGGTGATGAGGATGGGCATGCAGTCTTGTGAGGAGCACGCGGAAGAAGACTTTGCCGACAATGCTCATGAAAGAGATAATCGATAGTTGTTATATTCTGAGCGGTCGCCTTGGTTCTTGTCAGGCGTGATGATGGTGGCGTCACGCATGTCTTGTGGGACGGTGCCTTCCAGCAGAGACAGAGCAGCTCGTTGAGGAGCCGGACGTGGGATGCCAGGAGCTTTCCCGTTTGAGAGAGCATCCATGGCCTTTCTAAGCCTTTCAATGTTAGGTTTAGCGTCAAGCTTGTCCATAACTGGGAAGGGGGTGATAGAGTTGAAGGCAGCATCGGTAACAAATGTCTCACGCAGATAGAGTTCAGAGTAATGTTTCACAATCTGTCCTTTTGTTCCTTGGGGTCTGCAATGGGTTCACTGGACTTTGTTTTGAGGGGGAAGTTTTTTCTTTTCTGAAGGACCTAAAGCTTTCTGGATGCCGTCGTACATGCATCTGATGTTGCCGAAGTGTGTGGCTAGCTGTATTTCGTTGGCGCAACGTCTGGCAGCCCTCTGAGCTGCAGTGCGAGCTGCGCGGAGCGCTGTCAGGGTTTTCTCACACGGGTTCTTATAGTTTAAGAGAGCTTGTTGTTGGGCCTCAATAAGGGACTTCATGAGCGTTGAACCAGTCGTGACTGGGCCTCTTTATTTTGCCGAATTCCAACATGGCCAAAGGGTGAATGGCTTCCCACATGAAGTTCCATCTGGAGGTGGTATCCTGACCCTGGGGGTCCTCGAGGGCTTTCTCTACCTCACTGAGAATTTTGCGGTGATGCTCTGAGTGCCGTTGAGCTTCTTTGGCTGCAGTCTGATGAGTCTGCACACCAGGGAATGATCAGTATCGCAGTCGGCGCTGTGGTTGCTGCAAGTAGAGAGAACGCTGCTTCGTCTGGTCATAACTAGATCAAGCTGGTGCCATCTGCGGGACCAAGGATGTTTCCATGTAATATGATGTTGCGGCTTGCAAAGTGTTGGTTATGCACAGATTGTGCATGGGGCAAAGTTCCAAAAGTCTTTGTCAATTTTCGTGCATTCTGCAGGAAACCGTGATGTTCAAGACAAGAGGACCAGGCTTGGTAGTCAGATCACACGCTGGGAACCTGGTACGTACATTCCAGCTTGAGATACAAAGAGCTGGAGACTTCTTGTTTTTCTTTCTTGATTTGTCCGGTGCAAGACTGATCCACTTGTCATGCGGCGAGTTATTAGGCCCTAAGCACCCATCCAGGCAAGGCGGATCTTGGTGGGTCAGCCCCCAACTGACTGGGGGCTGCCCAACTAGAGGTAGGCGGTAGCTGACCAGTTAGACGCAATGACTTTTCCCACGGTCGAAGGCTCTCCGCGGCGTTCTCATCTATAACAATCGTGGTTGGACTTATAACTCGTAACTACGAGCCTTCGTTGTTGTGTCATTAGAGTCCCCCTCTCGGCCGCACTGGTGGGATCCAAAGGAGTGCTGAGCTCCAATTTAGCTGCAGGAGCTGCCAGAGGGGCATCCATTGGACTGCCAATCCGCCGTAGGGGGCTCCACTTTGGATATCTGTAGGGTTTACTCCGTAACCTTGTCCTCTCCCTAGACAGCCTCACAAGGCAGTGAGGGGCCGCATCTTACCTACATTATTAAATGAAAATAAAAGAAGTGTCCTTTATTACAGTTTTTGGCTCGTGGGTCTGAGCAAATGACTAAAGCACATCATTGGAAACTATTTAATGAGTGTATGCCTAACGGCAATAACATTGTCTTCGAAAAATGCAAAAGAAAAAATGAAAAATTTGATTAGCTACCTGTAGGTCAGTACAACTGTAGTTATATGTCATATATCATTAGATACAAACTTAAATGAAGCACAATGTGTTTTCTTACTGATATTAGACAGGTACTGCAGCATTTGTTTTGGATGGTCACAGAAATGTTGTGCAGTCTTGTGCATTCTCTGTCGATAGCTCAACTGTGGTAAGTTTCAGTTGCCCTTGACATATAATCTTCAAGTGTTTTTTAATGTCCTTTTGGATTTTTCAATTCCGTATGACCAACCATGATGTAATTGATGTTTTAATTCAAGTCAGAAGTTCATGGCTATAACCTGCAGTTAATGTCAGTGTTGAACAAGAGGTGATATAACCAGTCTTGCTTGGTTATATCATTTAGCTAGACTTCGTCAATCCAGAAAGACACAAAAGGTTGGGTTTTTCTTATTAAAATTTCTGGAACAAGAAACAAACAACAGATTATTGAAAAGAAGAGTTATTTTTCAAGATTTTTTTTTAAATGAACAAGTAATATCCTAACGCAGTTTTATTAGAGCCAAATGTAAGCATTATTTTACTTAGTGGCAGACATTATCATCAACGCTGTTAATCTCCTAATAAGTGGTATAATGTATTTTGCTTTTACCAGGCAACAGGCTCTTGGGACTGTACAGTTCGTTTGTGGCCTCTAGGTAAAGGTAAAATGGAAGTGAAGTGTTTAAAGGGTCATTCAAGTAATATTCACGCGGTGTCATTTTCCCCTTCAGCTTTACTGGTGAGTAATGCATGGAGCCTGTATAAATGGTTAAAAAACAGATGCGCTTGTATCTGGTGATCCTAAAATCATCTCTAGCACAAACAAAAAAATACCTTGTTTATATCATAGCTTCAGGTTTGCAATTACAGTTGAGTGAGATTGGATGAAGAAATAATTGTGAGAGTTATCGACATGATTGAAGTTATTTCCAAAACTGGCTTGAAACACTGAAGAACTGTTGACCATAAAGCCCCGTGCAAACGGACGCAACATTGTTGGGAGTTGTTGCGTCCGTTTGCACGTAGCTAATAGTTTGATCGGTTTCAAACTTGTCGCAACAACTCCCAACAACATGCAACAGGGTGTGCAAACGGACGCAACACGTATTTTTTGAGTAATTTTGTTGTGACTGTAGGCGTCCGCCTCATGGGATTGCACTGTCCGAGTTTGGCAGTCAGAATTAGGAGACTTGTTACATGTGCTGGAAGGACACACTGGCTGGGTTCAGGTACACTTACCCACAATTACTGTTAATATTCAGACTCGATGGATTTTACATTTCACTCTTAGTAAAATTCCTGAAAGTTGATATGACCATCGCAGTTGTATTTGGAAATTAAACACGGGGTTGTTGCTGTCGGGCTTAATTTGCAGGAATAAATTGCGATTACTGTAATGTTATTGAGAGGCGAAACAGGCGAGAACACAACAGCTTTAATCGAGCTAGTACAAGTACAAGGAGCACATGGTAAAACATCCCGCCCGCTAAGACTAACGGGACATCTAAAGCGATTACATCACAATTACAACTTTGATTGTTCTATATTGCTTTAGGTTTATACTAATCCCTGCAGTTCACATCATCTTCATTCAAATTTGTTTTATCGCTTTCACGATTTTCATGAGTTAAGATGAGCTCAACAAATTGGCCTGTTTTCCAGCGTAAAGGTCTTTATAGCTTAGTTGGTAGAGTACTGCAGCAGCAACGCAGCGGCCTTGGGTTCCGGGAGGGACTTACCGTTTATTTGCAATTGCTTAATGATTAAGCAATTACAATTGTAGTCATAGTTATTGTGATTACAATAGCCTGCAGAATGGGCGCTTTTTGCACTGGTTTCAGGGAAACACGAACCGGACGGAGCACGAGACACGACGGAGAAAGGCGCGGAAAAACGTCCCCCACTTCGGGCGTGTCTCGTGCCTGCCTGAAAAACGCGTAAAAATAGCGCCTGTTCTGCAGCAGACTATGATTACAAGTGCGATGATCATATGTTCCTTTTATACTCCTGCAGTTCATATCAGCTTCATTCTTTTTTGACCACAATTAGAAAAAAAATACAAGTGCCTTGTAGCCCCAATGTCCTTATTGCATTTCATTCATTTATTTATTTATATGCTAATGATTTTTTTATATTGTATGCATGTTTTACATTTATATTTCTTATTTTCATCTTTGACAGGCGTGTTCATTTTCAGCAGACGGAAAGCTACTTGTTTCCGCTTCCGATGATCAAACGGTAGTCATGAAGCATTTGTTGCTTTTTTTTTTTCACTTTTTTCTTGCTCAGTACTTTTTTTCAGTCCTTGCATCCTGTCGGAACTACAGGGAACTACAGATTTGATTTGTAAATCAATAAATATCACGCCAAGTGAACATTGTTTCTTTCCTTCTTCCCTCCTTGGAGCTGTTTTCACTGATCTTAAACGTTCCCATGTGTTTTTTTAGGTCCGTTTGTGGGACATTGAAAATGGAAAGTGCATAAAAGAACTTGAGGTGAAGTAGTACTTGTAAGCGAATGGCTCAATTTCTCACCAGCTTTGTCGAAGATTTCTCATTATTTGTTCGAATTAAATATTGCACTGTGATGTACTCCACTACTGTGGGAGAAGTAAATGATTTGGCCCCATTCAGGTGATCAGTTGGTTTAATAGTGAGTTTAAGGACGGTGATTTTGATGTATGACGTATCCTAGAAAAAGAGTAGTCACGCACCAGTTTTTGAACTCACAAGTATATTCCGTACACTGTAAACTGCTTACTGTACACTCTTGAACAATGTCTAGACTCTAAGTCATAAAACCTGGTAGCTTATTCGGCTCCACCTTGATGGTTCTTAGTTTTACTATAATACCGCGTGTTCGCATATATACTTTTAAAATGTCTTCATGGGAGTTAATTACCACTACGTAGCGCTATTTTAACATGACCACGCTGTAACGCTATTACTTTAGGCGGAATGCAAAACAGACGTGATAGAGCTTTTTCGCCGTAACTTTACATTGAAGGGGCGTCTTACATAACATCCGCAGACAGTACAGACTCTTTCAGTATTTGCTGTCCTCCGGGTAATCGCCCAAAGTAAGGACACTAAACAACTAGCCAACTAAGCGGTCTGATGGGCCGTTAGCACGTGCCATTCTATTTGTCGCACGATGCGATGACTGACCTTGGTAGCAGAGCCTGTCTTCAGTTCACGTGCTCTATTTGGCTTCCGTGTCACTCAAGAATAAACCAAACTGATGAGGCTGCTCGTAGGGTGCTAAGAAGCCTTTCTCTTCTCGTAACTGATATTTTCTCCATTCTCCTTCTTTTACAGTGTGACACGGACGAGATTCATACCTGCTGTTTCACTCCTAATGGCTCAGTATTCGCTTCAGGGCCAGCGGAAGCCGAGACAAGCATTTGTATTTACTGAGTTATAATCAATACGATGGACATAGATGAGAAGTGACAATGCTGAAAGGCCGGGGCATCCGTGTGTACTGTACAGAGGTGGGGATTGTAAGACGTTTCTTGTCGCATTTTTGGAACCGAAAGAGTCCGTAATAGAATGTGTCCATTTTATTAACGTCAAACATGATTCAGGGCAAAACTAGCTTTGCTGGTGACAGGTGTTAAATTTTGTGTTTCAAAATGACAACCACCTTGCTACGGGGCCCTCAAATTACCTTCGTCGCTTTCTAGAGAAAAAATACGAAAATCCCACAGAAAAATTCTAGAAAAATTATACAGTACCTGGTACCTATACAAGAGGAAATTCAAGAAAGATCGGGAAAAAAAGAGGCCTGCACAGTAGAAAAACAGTTCCTTGTGCCCATCTGTTAAGCCAGGTTTCCATGGTTTCCATATGATGGCTACCACTGTAGTGAAAACCATGGAAACTTGTCACCTATGCCATCGTTATTGCAACAATCTCAGCAGCGATCTCAGCCTTACTTGTTCAGCTATTATTTACTGACTTAGCTAATATTTTGTATCATTGTAACATTGTACTGTTAATTTTTATTTTTATTCTGCTATTTGTATATTTTCTGATTACTGTTATGCACATTTTAACATTTTAAGAAATTTGCGCATAATACAAAATTTATAATGCAAAGTCCGTCTGAAATGTGCACCAGCTAACTATATATTTATTAATGAAAGAATGAAAGATGGTAAATTTTAACTGGGCTCGGTGAACAGATGTGAAGGTGAAATAATCAGCATGTCACGAGCGTGGGACAAAGAAAAAATCTGAGCCCTGGACAGGATCCGAACCTACGACCTCCCAAACACCGGGCGGGCGCTGTATCCACTGAGCCACGGGTGCTCTATCCTCTGAGCTGCGGGTGCTCTATCCTCTGAGCCACGGGTGCTCTATCCTCTGAGCTACGGATGCTCTATCCTCTGAGCTACGGGTGCTCTATCCTCTGAGCTACGGGTGCTCTATCCTCTGAGCTACGGGTGCTCTATCCTCTGAGTTCTCCGTAGCTCAGAGGATAGAGCGCCCGCCCGGTGTTTGGGAGGTCATAGGTTCGAATCCTGTCCGGGACTCAGATTTTTTCTTTGTCCCACGCTCGTGAAACGCTGATTACTTTAACTTCACATATATATATATATATATATATATATATATATATTGTCTCTACGGCCACTGACTAAACAGCGTAAGAATATACTTGTTAATAGTGCATGCGGAGAGATATATATTGTTAAATAATAGTAACATAATATATATATATATATATATATATATATATATATTGTAGCTACGGCCACTGACTAAACAGCATAAGAATATAATCGTTAATAGTGCATGCTGGGAGTTATATCATGTTAAATAATAGTAAAATATTGTTGTGCGATAAATACTTTATTACAAGTAATAAATAAGCTTTATTTTATACATTGATTAAATTGTTCTATTTGGCCTTTTCAGAGGAGTTACAGGTCTTGATAGCATTCTGCTGAATACGAAAAGTGTATTGTAATTCAAAAAACAACAATTATTGTCTTTCTATGACTATAACCTGAAGTAAGCTCGCACGCTCGGTCAGTTGGCTGATAACGAGATGAAAACCTGAAAAAAGTCAAAACATTTCCTAGAAATGTCCGATTAAAATTATAATACGAATAAAGCGGCTTGCGGAGGTGATCGAGCGGGATCAGGTTTTTTTGTTTTAAGCCACCTATTGTGTTTTCAGCCCACCCAGTGACTAGTCTGAATACATAGTGCTGACGGCATGATTTGGTCTATTTATCGGAAAGTATGCGATTAGTGCAAAATCGCATATTAGCAGACCTTATATAACTGTTCTGCAAAATAAAAATTGGGCTTGGTGTGTGTGGCCTCGTCAAGTTTGTTTTATTTCCCACTAGGGCTATTAAGTTATTAAGTAAGGAATTTTTATCGTCCGTGATGCCACACGCTGCTATTAAAGATCAGAGGCAGCTCAGCCAACGTTCAGTAGATAGTCCAATAGAACCCAGGCAGACGTGCAAAGGACTGCAATCTGTATCATTGTTCAGTATAACGGAGGGTAAGTTGATCTTAGTCCGTACTTTTAACTCATAATGAATGTCGTTCGTTATCTGACCGGGATCAGTTCGTTGTATGGGAGTTCCATTGGAGGAAATTATTCATAAGGATCAGATCTAAATTATTGTCCAGATAGGAAATGTCTCCAAGTTTCGCTGCAAAGCTTTTTACTAAACTAGCAAGTGAAGATGAAAGTTAATTTTATGGTCAGTCAAACCTAATGAAACTCTGCCGTGATCAACCAACTTATGCAAATGGCGCGCCTTATGTGGCGCCATTAATTGTCTCAGGATCAAAAGGAAAAACCGTTGGGTGGGAGGGGTGGGAGGAGTATCTCCTCTTATCAGGTGTGCCTGGAACATCTGGAAACACAAAATATCGCTCTTCAGCGGGTGTATTGATGTTAGATCGATCACTCTCCGAGTCTGCGTAGTAGCTGTATGTGGGGCTCTGTTGATTGGGGTAGACACCAGTCTCCTGGTTGGTCAGCGTTCGCAGCTCCTCTTCGCATATCTCCAGAAGTTCTTGCACTGGAGGAAAGTTGGAAGGTCTGTGAGCAGCAGTGAATACGAATCCGGGGCTGGAAAGTACATCATGCACTGCGGGAGACAGAGGCGGAATTACCACATTATGTAAAGTTGAAGATGTAAAGGAAGCTGGCCTGTGATTGGCTACTATAGCAGCTGGCTGATTGAAATCTTCGAGTTGTTGAGAAACATTTAAAATGGAGTTTGCTGTAACGAAAAGAACACTGTTTCAGTTAAGTGTTTGTCCATAATATTGAATATTTTGATATTGCAAGTGAATACATCACGTAACAAACTAATCACAAATCTGTATTCCTTAATTAAACAATAAATTCTTAAGTTAATAATCATCTTTTTTATCTTCTTTACCTGATTTGCTTGGTCCGCGATCATCTTCAGAACACATTAGATCTGAAAAATGAACGGCCTCGTGTAGAGGAGAGCAAGGCGTACCTGTCAGTTCTAGCGAACGTGACCGCCTTCTGGCTGCAGCTGATGCTGTCTTGGTCAATATGTTTATCCATGGGTCTTTCCCCTTCTCGCTTTGTCTTCTCTCTTTCGCTCTATGATTTTGGAACCAAACTTGTACCACGCGCATGTCCAGTCCAGTCTCCTTGGAGATCCTGAGCCTTTCGGCAAAGTCAGGCCGTGGAGAAGAGTGATACACAGATTTTAGTACACTCAGTTGCTGGGCTGTGATGAAAGTACGTACTCGCTTGCTCTTGTCTCTGACCGGAGATTTGGGGGACTCTGCGTTTGGGGATGAAGGGTTTGATTCGCCTGCAAAATATAATATAATAATAGCAGCTTTGAAGAATGGCTGACGAAACAGGACGATTAACGAACAAACGCGAAACAAGTACAGGAAAAGCTACCAACGGTAAACAGCACTCGCCAATAAGTACGGTCTGTAGAATAAGAATCTGTGGTCAGAAATTTGGCACTTTAGTACCCAAAAATATAAGAACCTGTTTAGCAAAAGCAAACAGGGTCTTTTATGTGGATTACAGGTAAATTAAGATAAACATTTCAGCCAAGAGGTTTGACTTCGAGATTGCCAATTGATATCACAATACTGCACCAAACTGTATTTACAAATAGAAGTACTACCGTAATTCCTACAACGAAAAAAAGCTTTAAAAAATTGCAGATTGTAATTGTCCTCATGGACCTTAATTTTTCTAATAGTCAACATCTATGTCTCCTTCACAGAAATAAAGAACCTAATTAAGAAACTACTTAGCCTTAATTACCAATAAATACTTCAAAATAAAAGAGCCTTTTTTTGCCAGACCTCAAAACATATAGGTTAGCGGGTGTTTGCTGTAGGTGCTGCCAGTCTAAAAGAACTCCGACAATCTGACTGACAATTTATAATCTGACTGACAAACAGACTCGATCAAACTAAAATCTGAATCCTGATGATATTTGTCCATCAAATCAGTCAGTCAGTTTAAAACTGGTGCTTCACCAATAGTTTTAGCCTTCTCTTGCTAAAGGTTGTCTTACTAAGTGAAGATCAAATAAAGACAGGTAAAAAAGAAATGGGACTGAAATTTAACGCTGTGGCTATATATAGCCACAGCGAAAACTTAAACAGAATCAAATTCGGGCCAGCAGTTCCAAAGTTTAATTAGATTATTTGTGAAAATAATTTCAAACAATGGTTTCCTACCATGCCCCTTGGGGAATGATAGGATGTCATAATGATTCTTCTGTCTGTCCGGACTATAAACTGAATATACAAGGTAGAGGGTTGAACCAGCAGTCGTGTGCCGACAGGCAAATCGGAAAGGGCTGAAGGCAAACTAATGGATCGCCGTGCCGTAGTGGACCGTACTGGACTGACTGACTGACTCAGATTTTTTTTTCAATGTACCCTAAAAATTCTAAGAAAGTCTGCTGCATAAAAGGCAGCTGCATAACCCGAGCGGAATGCGGACCGGGGTATCGTTAAAGTTCAATGCGTGAGCTCTATGGGTCACAGTGACGTAGTGGGGAAACACTTCAAGCAAGGCACTTTTCCTCGAGGCTCCAATAACAACCAAGGTCTCGCGAGTTTCGCTCAATTTTTGCTAAACTTTTTGCAGAGTTACTCACTCACTCAAGTATGGTGGCATCAAGTATGGTGGCATCAGTGATGTGGCTCAGATTAACTATCGAGCCATATCAACAGATAAAGGTCAGCGGAAAGCCGAACAGGGCGCCGGAGAGCATGAAGTTTAACTGCATGCCAAATGCACCTTGCTCCGGTGTGTTCGAAATTTCTGTTTCGGGAAAACAAACTGACATATTTAATTTGTTGTTGATTTCTAATCTCAGTAGCAGAAAAGAAACTGATTGGTACGTAGTATATTTTCCAGGTGCATGTGTTTTAATTGTTTTTGGCTTCTTTTGTTGTTTTTTGTTTACATTTAACACTTAAAAATCTATTGAATGACCAGTTTTCAAAATTTAATGAGCTGATCTGTACAATATTCCTAGAGCCGTTGTCCGCAAGTCCTGTTACGGAAAAATTGTCTGTTGTTATGTCTAATTTCCGCAACTGGCAGACGGCAAAAAATGAAAAACCAGGAAATAATTTCCTGTTTTTTTTGTGTATACTTTATTCCGTTTAATTGGTCAAAAAAACTTTGAAAAGGCCAAACGAATGGGGACAATAACCAACGATAAAGTGTGACCAATTTTAGTAATTTTCTAAATTGTTTCTCACTAGATCTTACTTTTGTTCTTAAAAATACCTTAGTGAAATGATAACCTTACATTTAAAACATTAAAACGCTGTTAAAAACGAAGAGCAAATTGTATTAAATGCTTGTTTGATCAAATTATATAATTATTTCAAGTGCTTTGATTAATTATCAATTCATAACACTCTTTTCCACCAGCCGGACTACTTTTTATGAGCGCCGATCACTCTGCTTAGGCAGGGCTTTTTAAATTTTACGATAACTTTGTTTACCTAGAGCCTTTTTAGCATCAAAATCTTTATAATAATAGTGAGGCCTTTGGCCCACAAACTAGCCCTAACTTGTTTCGCTAACTTACGGTTTACTGTATTTCTATCCTGGTCAAAACAACTCGGCAAAAATATTCAACGGACATAGTACAGCCTAATGCAGTCCGGAAAAGGTTCCGGGACTTTTTCTTAATAATAAATATGGTTTGCTACTGGAGCGAGTTACCAGAATATTTGGTGAGTTGTTCTCCGTCATAGTCTGGTTTGCAGATAATTCCTCCATCGTCCAGCAAATAGAACAGATCCCCTGTCGATAACTGCTGTTTGCATGACACGCAAGAGAAGCAACTTATATGGTAAACTTTGTCCAAAACCTTTCTTACGCTTTGTTTAGGAGAAATACCTTCATTGCAAATGGTACAGGGTTTACCGTAACGCCTGAAAAAAAAAAAAGAACAAATAATTGTAACTGATAGTTGACAAACGCTGGCGAAACTGACTTACAGGTGTCCTCAATGGTGACAAACAGTATAAGCTAGGATACAACTTGGAAAGCGGAAACGTGGATTAATCGGCTTGGTTTAATAAAATAGAACTGACAAAGTGATCTTGCCTTACTTTCACAATCGATCCATTACATTTGCTGCCGTTTGAGGTCTTAATTACAAATCAAAAGAAATCCAAGGAAACTATTTCCATTGCAGCAGAAAAAAGTCTAAATCCGAAGATCAATTTACTGCTGGAAATGCTGGTGACGTTATGAAAACAAATCGTAAATACATCGTTGTTCAGTACAAGGGGAACTGAAAATATCCTAATAAATAACCTTCTAACTTAAAGTTTGGAGAATTAACACAAAGCAGCTGTGCTTGTTGCAGCAGGTGATGGCGTTCAGTTTTATGCTGCATACTGCTCAGCTAACTGCTACTCTGCAGATTTAGTCTTATTTAGTCTTCCCCTCGGCTTAGTTCTTGATAACGTTCGTTTTACTCTACGTTTAAATACTGAATCAATCATTCAGTCTCGTATGTGTAACTGCAGCAACTGATAATCATAGTAAGAAAATAACCATCCGCGGGTATAGTTGATTATGTTGCTATCACTGAATGCGACATAAAATGATAAAGAAAATAGACTTGGAGCCGGATAAAATGTTAAAATTCTATAAAAGATATTTCCTCTTTAGTTTGCTGTAACTGTGAATGATTTTAAAATTCATCATGAAGTACAAATTAGTACTAAAATATAACAGTTCGGTACAAGTCAGCACTAGAATCTAACAGTTCTGTAGGTGGTATCGCCGGATAACCATTAAAGAAACTTGAACTGACAACTGAATTTAACTGCGACGCATCCGGCAACTGAGCAACAGATTGAAGAAATTGAAATGTATTTTACCATTGTTTTTGTTGAACTCGATTTTAGATGGACCCCGCTATAACTTTATTATGCCAGATTAATATATTATCTAGCTCATTAAACTGACTTCAAAAATCATTGAAATGTTCAACAAGAAATATACTTCATATTCGCCTTTTTTGCCAATTTGTGAAAGATTTTCATATTAAAGGAACAGTTATAAGTTATTTAACGAAGAAATGGCTAATTTCCAACCTAACTGGAATTTCGTTCTGCCATTAGAGCTAAAAGGAAAGTGTAATGAATGCCTACCGAAAAAAATCAAAGTCGCAAAGAATGTTTCCGTCGCGAACGTAACACTTGCCGTCATCACTGAGTGTCTCCCTGCAGTCGCTGCATCGCAAGCAGTAGACATGCCAGAGTTTGTCCAGTGCTTGAAGTAGATATTTATCACGGATTTCTTCATTACATCCTCCACACTTTGAGTATGACTGGTTTTCTGCAACTGTGGAGAAAGATTGAGACGTACAGTTTGATTGAACTTCACTAGATTTGGATTTGGAATAGGACTGACTAACAGTACTCCCGTCAGCCCGGCGGACAAACATAACGAAGAGAAGTCGGTTCTTTACAATATTTATTTAAAAATATTTAGAAATGAAGATTCTCCCTCTTGCTCATAAATTAGAAAGAAGTTATACCAAGACATGGACATTCAATCATTCGAAAAGAAAAAACAGTGTGAAGAACTTTGCAGGCGTAGTAGGCGACAATGGCAGCTAGTAAGAGAAATGAAAAAAAAAAATGAATGTACTTAGTCTCCTTTTTACTTAATTTCAGATTTAAAAACAGCTCAGAAAAGGAAAAAGACTCCACGATAGGAGCAAAAGCACTATTCAGTTCTGCTTTGGACAGCATCTTAGAAAGAAGGCATACCTGGCTGGTGTTTGTTTTGTTCATGTTTTTTTTTTTCTTTTTCAAACCCGAAGTGAGTTAGGAAGATCTCGACAAAAACAAGCAAATTTGAATTGTCACTGCTTGCACTGAAAAAAAAGCATCCCTAGCAAGGGTAGAAAAACAGGAGCAACGTGGGATATTTCTCAAAACAACAAAATTTGACTTAAGAATCTATACACCAACTTGCTTTTCTCACAGCAACTGGATAGCCGAGAGAATTACTTAATATCCGAATAAACAACCGTGAATTAGGCAACACCTACTTGCTCTGCTTTCTGCCATCGGGTAGAAAGACTTTCAGTTTCCCCGTAGATCGTGTGGTATAATTGTGTTCTTATACGAAATGAATGATAATTTAACGAAGAAGAAAGAGGAATCGGAATTTCAGAGTAATTAATGACAATAAGAACAGTGCATTGCAACTGCAATTCACACGGCCTAGTGACGTCAGTGCCTGACATCATGTGACCAAAAATTGAAGGGGCCGTTGTCATGTTTATTGTAAAAGTTTTTTCTGGAGATAAAATGGTCAAGATGTGAAGCAATAAGTTAATTTCCATTAGGGATAGATCACTCTTGACAATATAACTTTTTTTCGAAGGTGCTTAAAGCCTTTAATCTGATTGGTTAAGGTAACTTTTAGAGAACCCTGATATATTCTAAGCTTTCCTACTAATATCTGCGAGACAGATGGAGATTTGCGTCCATAAATGACAAGCAACAGTAAAATTAGTAATTATTGAATTCGGCCTTCGTATGATCTGAAAAATTATGCATGGAGGTCGAGGAGGTAGATAACACCCTCCAAGATTTGTCTTCAGATAATACGAAAGTAGATTATTATCCATTCAAAATTGTTTTATCTTTAAAAACAAACTAAAACATGCTCGCCTTGTCGATGTTAAGTCGCCGTCTTTATGGACTGTTCCTGGGCAAATTCAGGATTGAAGGGGATTTTTAGTCCAGCAGATATTTTTCAAATAGCTGTTGTCATCCGTCGTTTTGTATTTTTGCTGTTATTGCTATGTTTTACCCAGTAGCTTGGCGAGCAAGTTCTCCTGGGCGCTCTGTTGGTGGGGTGAAAAAGGATGGAGAGCTACCTTTTTCGCCCCGACGCCAAGGCGCCTCGGAGAGCTTGCTCGCAGGCTAAAACAGCTGTCGAGCGAATGTAACCTTATCCTCAGCGAGGGCTCAGCGAGGGCGGGCTTGCCGGTCGGTTGTCGTTGCTGTTGGAAGTCTCGTGAGGAGACTATGATGGACGGAAGTGAACGTGAATTTGTTCCGTAAAGTTTTCCTTTTTTTGGTTTTCCTGGTTTTCGTTTCTATCAGCGCTTACCATTTGTACGGAAATTTCGGTGAAAAATTTCCGTCAAATGGTACTGGTATTTTTTTTGGCACCGAAAACAGGAACGGGATTGAGTTGTACCATTTACAAAATACCCATAAACTTTTCGCTCTCTCTCGACTTAAAGCCTGGCACTAGTAATCCAGACAAATGGTACAGAAAATTTCGGTCGTTTCGGTAACAACGGGAATAATACCTCGAAAGGTATTACTATTTTTCCGGAAAATTTCCAGCGGGATGAACCGTTCCATTTGAATTCTCCCCGAAATTTCCGGGTTTTCCATACAAATGGTAAGCGCTCAATGTTTCGCTCCTCTGTACCACCTGTTACTCGCCAGAATGGCCGAGTGGTCAGCGCGTCAGACTCGCAATCCGGCGGTCTCGGGTTCGAGTCCATCTCTGGCGAATTGCTGGATTTATTTTCGTTTGTCCCGAGTTCAAATCCTCGGCCACACTTTTAAATAACCAACTGGTTGTGTTCTGCCAGTTGGGGTTTTTAATCCTGTTATGTTGTATTTAATTATTTGTTTCTAAGTATTTGAGTGGAGTGCCTGTAAACTAGCTGAATAAACTAAGTGCATTTTCCACGATGAACAAGCCTTGATGTTAATTATCCCTTGTCTGTCTGAGTTATCACTGAAATTGTAAATCTTTCTCTGACTACAGGCTCCATACCTCAATGTCTCAAAAGCGCTCAAATTCGACATTTGCTTAAGAAAAGTAATCTGGACTCTGAAAAATTTCAGGAAACTTTACACCAGTGTCTAATCTTCTGTTTATTTCTACAGGATCTTAAATACATACTTTACTTTTATGTTATTAATGCATACATATACTACCTACAACCTTACTTACGAGCCTTTGTAATAAATGTATTCTCTAATGTTAATCATTTTTATTAATTCTCCAAAGTTAACTATTTTTATCGCGCATTTGATTATATTCATATAGATATTTGCGCGCGCTATTACCTTTGAATTATGTTTGAATTATTTTTTTATTCTTACTATGAAGATATTTTGAGAGCCATTGATAACAACAGATCTGTTGACTTGGTAATATTTGATCTCTCTGCTGCCTTTGATCTATTCAACCATAGAATTTTTTTACATCGTCTTGAATTCTGCTTTGGTGAAACCGATCGGGGGAAACTGAATTCTTCAAAATCCCCACAGACGTGCTACAAGGAGACAGAAAGGCTAGACAGGTTTCAGCTTGGACAGCTTGCAACAAAATGAGAAAAGAGTGGACCTCAAAGCTGCCAAGAGCAACAAAGATCAGACTGTTTAGAGCAACTGTAGAGTCTGTCGTACTCTATGGAAGTGAAACGTGGACGTGACCAAGAAGCTGGTGGAAAGTGTCAATGGATACTACACCAGAATGCTGCGAACGGCCCTTAATGTGCACTGGCAACACCATATGAACGAGAGCTTCCCAAAAGTTAGTGAAACAATCCGTGCAAGACAAGAGAGGATAAAGGTACAGAGAAGGCATCCCCCATACACACCCTATTCCATAGGTGATTCGTCTCGAGTTATTTTTAGAATCGGGATAAAGTTACCTCGAGACGAATTACCTATGGAATGGGGTGTGTATGGGGGATGCCTTCTCTGTCCCCCTTATCCTCTCTTGGTGCAAGACGATTAAGATTAGGTGGTCATTGCTAGTCACAATGAAGAGACTGCTTCAAAAGTGCTGCTTTGGGAACCCCAACACGGTCACCCAAATAGAACCAACCACATTGACACCATCAAGGCTACTGGACTGGACAATACCAAAAAGATAAGAGATACAATGCTCAATCAGGTCGTGTGGAAAGATTTTATTAGGACGGCTCGGGATGACTCCCGGCCTTAGTAAGTAGTTAAGTTGGTATTAAAGGCAGTGGTTCATTGTTGTTTCAATCCTATCTCAGGGATCGTCGACAGTATGTGTCTGGTGTACGTGGTGAAAGTTCATCTTTTTATGCTCTGCATCATGGTGTACCACAGAGGCCAGTTCTCGGACCGATCCTCTATCTTTTGTGCACGTCACCAACTGGGCACATTGTAAGGAAACGTGACATGCTTTACCAGTAAGCGATTTCAAATGATTATAATGGGGTACAGAGATTCGTTCCCTCCCCTAATTCTCTCTTGCTTAATTTTTCCAGCGAGCAATTCTTTATTCTCAACCAAACCCTGTTCTTGCTTTGACTTTCTAGAAAAGAAAATCTTCACCGACGCTGTAAAAGTTTTTTTAAAGCTTTGATGCGTCGATAACAGCCTGCCGCGAAATAATGTAACATTTTCAAGCTGGCGCTAAGTCGGAAATAAAACGGGTTTATCATCGTTCGTGGACCACACAATGCTATCAGCGTAAAAGATATAAAACAAAAATTAGTTATATATGGTCAATTAAATGTTTTCTTATAACAGTGATGCTGATAACTCTTATTTAAAGTGAACTGTTAGCTGAACTGTTATCAAAAGGAAGGTTGGCAATGTTTTGAGTGACCTACGCTTAGTGAGTGCAACTGAGGGTGCGCGGAACTGGGAGGTCGCAGGACATTTAATTTCTAACAACAATAAATCCTACAAAGAACACGACTCTATACCTGCCTCGTACCCAGACGTCTCTCTTTTGGTGAAAATGTGCGCGCAAAGGGAGCGGGAAGGAGAGTCGTCTGTACCCTTCCCATGGTCCCTTGCGGTTCATCACCAGTCACTCGTTTCGCGCTCGCCTCTGCCATGCGAAAAATGAAGCGCCTGAGGAGGAGGCTGACTCTTTACACCACAAAAAAAATAACAAGTGACACAGGTGACGTGGCACGTGGAGCAGGCGGATAGTGTCGCTGTTCAATGTTTTTTTAAGTTTTACAGACATTTTATACAGTAAAGCTCTGCTCGTGTAAGCCATGGCTATTTTGTATTGCAGACTCCTATTACTGTTTTTCATAAATTGATGTTCTACAATTAAAAAAGGTAACATTTCTTAACACTCCACATCTGTAGGAGGTATAATGAAACGAAACAGGAAAGATTAGCACACAACCAGCTACTGAATAGACTGATACAAATCCCTTGCTTAAGTTGGGCTTCGCCTTCTTTCTATCAAGAAAGGCTGAAACTGGTACATGTGGAAGTGTTTAAAAATTCACATGCATCTGTTAGGACTGGAAAATCTTATATTAGAAGTCCAAACAATTACTATATTCCATAATACTTTTTTGCTGCCATATCTACTGTAGTTTAATTTTTGTTTGCTGTAGTTTGTCAAGCTTTTGAGCATATTTTTTTTAATTCAGTTGTTGATCATTTGCATGGA